CCTTTAGAATCTTGATTGACTCTGGGGCGTCGAAGAATTTCGCACGCCGCCAGACGGTTGCTCGTAACAGCAACAAGTTGTCCGAAGCTTTGCGAGAAAGCAAGGGCAACGGGACGGTGTCAGTGCGACTGGCCGACGGAAGGTCGTCACTGTCCCCAACGTCCAAGTGGATCTGGCTGTCAAGTTTGAAGACTTTGACAGCCTCGAACAGTTCACTGTTCTCGATATGGATCCATATGATATGATCCTGGGCATGCCCTGGCTTGAGAAGCACGAGCCCTGGATCGACTGGCGAGGCAAAGCAATCGGTGCCAGCCGCCCTGCGCAGTCCGACAGAGCATTGGTGAGTCATGTTCCCACCTCTGTCAGGACCCGGGGCGCCCGCGAGGGCTGCCAGGGTACCAAAGCATCCGGCAGATGCTTGGGAGTCGTCGACGTATATGACGACTCCGAGGATGTTTTGATGGTGGCCGCGCCCAGAAGAGGCGCCGGCCAAGTGGGTAACTTAGGTCCACAGGCGGGTAACTTAGTTCCGCAGACAGCTGCAGCTGTCATGAACACTGAGAACAGCGTGTTCAGAGTGGGTAACAGAGTTCCACTCACGGTCGCCCAGACCATAACTGAAGAGGAAGACGTCGGATACGCTTCCTGTGTGGGTAACACAGTGCCACACGCGGTCGCCCAGACCTTAACTGAAGAGGAAGGCGTTGAACACGCTTCCTGTGTGGGTACAACAGTACCACACGAGGCCACGAGTGCCTCGGATGTTGTAGCGACGACATCCCTAGACGTGGGCAGCAAAGCTCCCCGTCACAGAAGCCGTCGGCAAAGATGCCGCCGCCGCCTCAAGTCGGATCCGAACTTCGTTCCGATCGACGTCGCTTCAAGCGACTCGGAGTCCAGGGCCCGGGCTCCTCCGACAAGGCCGGTGGAAGAGTGCTATCACATCTTCGATAGCGAGACGGGTTTACCCGTCAAGGCATCTGGTGTCCACTTGGAACAGTTGCCAGAGGTTGCAGAGATACTGAACCTCGAGGAAATGACGGCTGAGTCTTTCCTGGCCAACCTCAAGGCTGGAGAGATCGCTGAGATGGTACTCATAAGACCTGAGACCACTCAGGAGGAGCTGAACTCCTCCTCTGTCTTGGACGAGAACGTCCTGGAAGACATGAACAAGCAGCGTCAGGCGCGCTTGGGTTCTGAGATTCTCAAGAACCCCAAGGGACCGGTGTATCCTTTGGTGACGGAGTATGCGGACGTGGTGAATAAACACCCACCGACCCAGCTCCCACCGGATCGAGGCGTACGGCACGAGATTGATCTCGTGCCCGGCACAA